TATCTGCACTTGCAACAGAACACTACCGGTCAAAGGTTTTAGAAACGCCCCGATTTCTCCAGTTATTTATTGTAGTTTAAGTCATTCAAGTCCAATGAATAGTTTGAAATGGTACAAAGTTAAGTGGCGAACTGCTAGAGGTAAAAAAAAAAGGGCAAGGTTACTCAAAACTGAAAAATAATGTACATTTCAGAATTACACAAAAAGGCCTTTTTCAGGGAACACAGCCGGTCTGCAGCAATGGAGGTTGATCAAGCCTTGAAAGCTGGTGCTGCTAATCCCCACAGGTGTTCCAACTTTTCAGTATTACTTACAACCCCCCCTGTCTGCATAAAAGCAGTGTTGGAACACACTGTGGTACCATACCCTTGTGAGCATCACTTGAACAGTATCTTACTGCAGGTAATAGTGTGTTGCTACAAAAATGGCAAGAAAAAGGCAATAACAATGGAAGAGAGGCCGACCATCATAACACTTAAAAATGTAGGTCTTTCCTACAGAGAAATTACAAAGAAAGTCTAGGTGTCAGTGAGTACAGTTTCCTTCACCATCAAAAGGCTCTCAGACCCTGGGGCAAACTCTGACAGGAAGAGGTCTGGCAGACCCAAAGCCACAACTGCATCAGAGGACACATTTGTGAGAGTTAACAGCTTGCGTGATAGGCAGCTCACAGGACAACAGCTTAATAGTGGTCGTAGTAAGCAAGTCTCGGTTTAAACTGTGAAGAGAAGACTTCAAGCTGGAGGTTTGACAGCACAAGTTGCAGCAAGAAAGCCACTGCTAAGACGTCAGAATAAGAAAAAGAGGCTTGCCCGGGCCATGAAACACCGCCATTGGACTACTGAAGACTGGAAGAAGGTATTGGACTGATTAATCCAAATGTGAAATCTTCGTTTCATCATGCAGGATCTTTGTATGCCGTCAAGTAGGTGAAAGGATGGTTCCACAGTGTGTGGCGTCAACTGTCAAACATGGAGGAGGAAGTGTGATGGTCTAGGGCTGTTTTGCTGGATCCAGGGTCGGTGACTTGCACCCTGAACCAAAACGGCTACCACAGCGTTCTCCAGCGCCATGCAGCAGTACCCTCTGGTACTGTTCTGTGTTGGTCAGGGGGTTCATCCTACAGCAAGATATGACCCAAAACATAAGTCCAAGCTATGTCTGAACTACCTCAGGAAAAAAGAACAAGATGGTATACCTGAAAATACCTGAGGATTACTTGACCGACACGGACTCCGGGTATTGCCATGGAAACATGTAAACGTTGAGCATTCTAACTAAACAGCACCAGCTATACGGCTTTAATCAAGCAGCTGGGGGTCTCTTTTTTAGTTCTGATATCATTGTAATCCTCGTAGGCATGAATGAATAATTCTTGCTCAGTCTGGGAGAAGAACACACTTTCCTTTCCTTCTATTCTCATTTATCTGGCATCGATTACCCGGGGCTGCCTGACGTGCGTGAGCCTCGCTCCTCACGCCTCGCTTGATTTAGCGAGGACTGAATCTATCTGAGCTTTGCTCGTGGAACCGAAAAGCCCTGCAGTGAACTGGTGTGCTACCATAAGCAAAGCTTTTTTTTAAAAACCTCAAATTTCTGAGCTCGCTTTGTGGAACAGCGCTCTGGCTGCACGGAGGAGGGGTTTGGCTCATCTCAGCACATAAACAGGGAAAGGACCCCCCAGTGCAGTGAAACCCTGAAACGTGAATGAACACGCCCCGAAAATCAAAAACCATAAAGCCAAATGTAAAGTTTGTGGCAGAATATTAACCAAGTGATTTTTATTAATCAAGAAAACAGCTTCACTGTTCGAGGGGACGTGTGGTGAGAATATGTTGCTTACAGACGGGACAAGTGGCAAG